ATGTAAAAACTATCTTCCTTCTATCTCAGCCACTAGAAAGGAAAAATAATGAAAGTAAAGGATAAAGATTTTGGCGTTAATCAATCCCGTCTGAGGGATGCACCCCCGCACTCGACTTCTATTCAGATCATAGTGGCGTAATGAGTGCGTATGTGGCCTATACAATGACTTGCGGTGGCCAGCCGATGTAGAAGTCAGTGCTTTTATCCTCCTAGACGAATGGTACCAATTCACCGATCCCGGAGGGATGGAAGGCTTGGTTGGCCTAGGCGGGCATCGATCCGGAATTCGAACCCCTGACCGTTCGTATGATATAGTGCGCCACTTGCCACCACACCACCTCCGCCCCAAGGAAAGTAATAACAACTTGAATTAACTCTTCAGAAAACATATTTCTTCCCTACCACCTATCCTCCGCCCATTATGTTATTAGATTATACTTTCGCAGTATAGGTAACCACTAAATGGATAAGCAGCGCGCACTCCTTTGATGATGCGCCATGCTTTGGAACAGCATTCGCATACTTAGTGGCATTTTACTGGGTGACGGGCCTGATTTGCACGTGCTCAGCGGTGTGAAAATCCTCTTCTGATATGACCAATGTACCACTTAGTCATCCAAAAAAAAACTTCCGATTTGCAGGAATGATAGTTGGTCTGAAAATTGATAAAAGCAACTACGGTACAACAGTAAAACCCCTCGCTTTCTTTCCACGTAGAGTTAAATACTAAAGGAGGTAAGGGTGAAAGAGTCCCTTGCTGTTTTTCTAGGGTTTCATCTAGGTAGGGTAATTCCGTATCCACAATTCCCAGTTGATACTAAGCCGGTGGTGAAAAGTAGCTCAATCTAAAGATTTCGAAGATGTGGTTCCAGAAGATGGTTATTTTGGCCAATCATGTGATACCTTCACATAATTGGTCAAAATATATGGCGAATAAGGAATGATCATGGAGTGCATGGCGCATCCCTATCGATTTAGGCTTCGGGTGTGCTTTCTCAGCATTCTCGGGTATCGCTGTAAACCGAAAGTTTTGTACAGATGATGTACTCAAATCAAACTCATTAGCTGAACGTAAATTGTCCGATACACTTGATCCATCGGAGAGTATTTCTTTCGTCTTGCACAGGAATCATCAGGTCCCGTAAACAGTTCCCGATCCTTTGGAATGCGAATTCGTAATAACTAGCTGGCAGTAGTATCCAATTGAAAAGTTTGGCTAGACTACGAATTATTAGGATCCACTAGTCACATCCCAACCAGGTCCTTGAGATCGACATCTTTAGAATAGGATCTGAAATTGTGACGTAATGTCCTTCATGGACAACTTGTGGCCATTTAGCAGCTTTCTTGTCCTGACATCCGCAACTTTCACTCATGCTAGCGGCAGAAGCTGGTGCCTAACCTACTTGAATAGGTTCAATTTTCTCCTTATAGAATAGTCTTGGAATATCATCTTCAATCGAGGAGCTACCAGCACGAAATAGAAGGTGGTCAGTATGGTTAGGTGAAACGTGAAAGCTCAAAAAGGGTAACCTTCCCACTTCATTCCCCTGCCTTATTTGAGTTCGGCAACTTTTCGGTGTGACAATTTCGCAACATGCAAGAGGTGGTCGTTAAACATCGTCGGTCGCGTTTAGGGCGTTCCTCGCAAATACGCCAACTACTTCTGCTGAAATGGTGCGTCTGAGCGGTTATGGTAGTAACTCGGGGACTATGGTCTACTGGAAGCTCATGGTAGGGGATAGCTCCCAATCGATGTTTTGGGAGCTTTGTAGACGGTAACTATCAGATAGCTTTGCTCTATTGGCGTTTATAGAAGAGAGTCTGTGCACTTAGAGCGAAACTCCTGGATTCCTTCATAGTACTGCAGTGTGGGAATCTTTTCACGGCTCTTTAAGAATGGTAGACCGCCAGCATCAATCTTGAAGGACTTCCCATCATATCCCAGTATAGAATCCTTCCTACAGGGATTTGAGAAAATCACGGAAAGGTTAAGATTTCCTCGAACTATGTGCCTTTCGCCCGTCAAAATGTGCTTACCAGTTAGTGTAATTCGGGTACCTTTTCGGAACTTGAAAGTACATGCGCTCTTGAAATAGTCGTTGGATGGTCCTGGCATAGGTTAATCATCATCTAATCAAAACTAGGAAGGTACTGGTCACACTCCTGTGACCACAGACTTCAGCAAATTTTCCAGTATTGGTGGTTTGTGTGGGCTGAGAGTAGTGTATTGCCTGGTTGGTCCTCCTTGCCGGTGCATGCCATCTAGTCACTAGTCAGATTGAATGGTTGTACCTGTAAATCATTTCGGGAACTCTTTTCGGGGGTGGTGGAAAGAAAACCTGGCTAGAGTTGTCGGGAATAGATCCCTGATCCATGGTGATGACGCCTTAAGCCACTTGGCAATTTAGTTCCCTATTGGCAATTACCTTAGCCCCAGTCACACACCTCAGCCCTAGTTGAGCACCTTAGCCTTAGCTGAAGAATCGGTTTTCGAATCTTCTCAAGACGCTTGAATCCCTGCCAAAGGTTCGCCAGATAGAAAATGCGTATTTAGCCTACATAACAATGGTCTGCAGGGGCTAAAGGGGGTACAAGTCAGTGTTTTTCATCCTCGCGGACGAGTTTGTTAGCAGTAAATCGGCCTCGGCAGGATGTGAGGACTGGTGACTTTGGGCGAGTATCGTCCGGAACTCGATCTCATGGTCATGGACATACGAGGGCGCGCCATTTGAGTCCCCTTGACACCACCTCTGCCCTTAGAAAAAATATGAATTTTATTTTGTACTTCTTTCGTCAACTAATCATATACATCCGCAACAAGTGTTCCCTCAGCTTTTGTGTTCTTCCACAACGAACTCTTTCAGTCTGTACTTTATTGTGTCCCTAGCATAGAAAAAAAGGAAGAGACCCTCGCCCACCGTCTATTCATTTTCTCACCCGTCTCGGGCACGGTCCGTCGTAATCAAGGGCGCTGATCTGATGCGATGCTATTGCTGGTGTTATTTTCATTTCGTACAATGACGAAACCTCGTAAATTAATCGATAATCAATAAGTGATAAGTGACTCAGAATTTTTGATGAAAAACGCTTGTCCATGCGTTTTGATAAGCCCAGAAATTCCCTCGGACCGGAACCTTTTTTTGAGGGGTTTCTATGATAAGGTAGACGGGGACGCCATCAATCAGCTTGTGCTCTGTCTGGTTTTACGTGCTGACTACTCGAATCGCACTGACCCGACAGTTTCATTTACTGATTTGGTTATTTTTTGGGAGGGGGGAGAGGGGATTTTCGAATATGGCCCTCAAAATAGCCGCTCGCTCGTGTGGGGACTGCACTGGGGTCATCGTAGGCTCGACTTGACCGCTCAGGGCCAAGATCGGTGCCAACTTTTTTTTTTCGTTGACTTTGTTGACCGGGGCGGTAGGTTCGCGAAACACCAGTCATCCTACTTAGTAAAAACTTTTCTTTCTTTCTTCTGCGTCGGCTTTTGCCTTCGCTGTCTTACTGCGGCCCGCATTGGGGCCGGTTGGTTATTCTCTTCCCCAGTTCATTTCCCTTTTATCTCACCCAATTCTGTTCATAAGCCCCTTTGCAAAAGTCGTGGGTGTAGAAATCATCGTTTTTTACGATTTGAACTTTTTGGGGGGCACTGATAGAGAGAGATCTGTTCTCAGACCAAGTATGAGTCATCGTCGGTACGCAATCAGCAAATTTCACGGCGAGAACTTGCAGCGGATTGAAATTTAGCGAACACGACCTTTGTATCTTTTTATAGATGTATATTAGCCAAGTTATATGATTACGGTATCTTTTGGGGACCAACATATAAGTAGCGATGCAGTCGGTGGTCTGAAATTGGCCACACCGAACTCGCTAAACATCCTACCAGTCTGTTGATTGCAATTTTGTTTATTTCCAATCAACAGGTTGGATATAAAAGGCACTGGTTTGTTGTACTTTTATGACAATTAGAGGTTGCGAATTTGACGATTTCCCCGTTCACTTTCGTTTCGGGACCCGCCCACTTGTATGGTATTTGTGACGATGAGTCATAGTTGGAGCTGGTCGTTCGTCGTTCTTCTACAACCGATCAACCAACACACGCATACATATATATTTCGTATTCACTGATTTTCTATAATTGATACAGTTACCTGTATTGATTGGTTTCGATTGGTTTCAATCGATCACAACCATGTCACGACATCCTTACGACAAACAGCAGCGGCCAAGTTGCAGTTATCAACCACGTTCGACTTGCGATGTAAGGAAATTTCCACGTTGTTCCAAGGGTCTGACCCATCCTATTTCAAAACTTTCCAGGAAATGTCCCATAAAATTTAGAGGAACTTAGATTTTCATCGAGTTTTCTTAGTGTATTTTAAGACCAAACTTTTTCTAGGGCATGAAACTATATATTCTTATAATTTTATAAGTGATATAACCTACTGAAAAGATGCATATTGATCGTATTCCATTTCAATATCACGCCTCTGTACCTCTTAGCCTCCTATCAATTGGAAATCGCGCGCGCACTTAACGCGATCGCCGCTCGTGACTATTTGTTTAGCGTCTTGGACTTCTGACGATGGGGATTACTGTAACTGTGTAGGCGTCACTTTTCATTTCTGCCAAGGAAATGGTGCTAGCGTTCAGATTTTAATGTGTTTCTCGAAAAATCTGTCGATCAATCTGGAAGTCCTCGAAACTTCTTTCCTTTTTCCCTTTTTTTTCCTCCTTGCTGATATCATGGTAAGGAGCAGTTGCTTTCTTTCCATGATTGGATGACTCCATGATTTCCATGAGTTCCCATTTTTCCTGCTGTGTTCTACCTAATTAATTCTACTTCAAAGCTGGGAGATTAATCTTTCTGGATCATTTTGCAGCTTCAAGGGCGTACTGAGGAGAAGTTCCGGGAGAACCTCTGGAAGAGTCCTAGAACTATAAGATATCTTGTGTTCTTAAGATCACTAGTACCTATACTTTCAAAACGAAATGTCCGAATACCTCCGGGTTCCTCGATTTCAGGACTCTGTAGGACCGTACAATCGCCTTTTATGGTTGACTGAAAGTCCAGACGTAAAGGTTACTGTTTTGAAGCTGGTTATACTGGTACAGGTTGATGCCCAGATGTTTATGAGGAATTTCCTCATCAGATTCAAGAGCAACTAAAACCTCTATATCTGTAGCCGTTCTAGATTTGTCTTCCGCCAGTAGTCATGAGCTAGATCGACAGTAATTTTTACTATTCAACTTATAAGCTACGCCTAACCACCTGATAGTTACGGTAACTTTGAAGAGATCAACTCTATAAAATTCTGGCAATCAAGCGAGCGATTTAATCGAGTGGAAACGTAAAAATTATAAAAGGCATCTCTTTAGCGCTCAGTCATGTAGATACTTGAAAAATACCTCGACCCTTTGTGGTCTTACCAATTCTGATTTATTTTCGCTCATTTGGGGTCCACTAAATCCTTGTCTCCAGAAGCTTTCCAACAAAAATACTGTTCAAACATCTAGACCTGCAGTAAATTTCAATTTTATATTTTTTAGGACCATTGTAGAGACCTGAAATAACCTTATTTATTTACAGCAATTATTTCAAGCTCCAAATAGATTTTATTCGCTTCGTTCGGGATAAGCTACATTGTAGCCTTCGATAACAAGAAGGAACGGATATCTTAGGAAAAAAACGGAACTCCAGCATTTGATAAGCAAAAATAAGTTGGCAGAAATTGAAAATATTTCTGTTGAATTAATTTTTGGAAAGAGGACTTATATGATGAGAATTCAAAAAAAGTACATAAAGAAACGTTTGTTGAGTTGAGTTACAGCAAGGATGTTATCTACTACTTAAACTTGAAAATTTCGCAAAAAGGCTTTCCACAAAGTGTTTACTTGATCTATGACTGATTCAGTAAAGTTCTGAAAACTTAGAAAGTTTTTTTACTAATTGCTAACGTTTTTCAGTTCACGCAGCCTTCACCAGCTGATTCGAGCTGTTCATCGACGCTTGCGCCGCCACTAACATCGCCGATTGGTAATCCAGCGATAGGTATGTTACTTTAGCCGTAATTGTAAGCTTCAAAGTTAGTAAACAGTGTTTTCCCCCTCAAGCTTGAATGAAAACTAATAAATCACCGTTGAAGGTGGAACCGTTTGTTTCATTTTCATGCATATTTGGTACGCGTTTGAGGTTACCCTCAGCTTGAGATTCTTCCCGAAAACATAGAGATTTTTAAACTCGGGGGTAAAATATGCTGTTTGTAAAACGAGAGGACGTACTGGTTTGTAAAGTATTTGGTGGAAAGGACTCTTTTGAAGGATAAGATCGGTCCAGTATCGAATTGATAGCTTACTGGGAACCTTTGTCAAAAAAGTAGTCAATTACTGTGGGACTGTGGGAATCCCTTCCGCATTGCTACGATGTGAAGGGTTCTCACCGTAAGGTGTGGGGTATTCTTATGGTAACTAGCTATTCAGGAAGGAATGGGCCTTCTATAGCATCCATCAAATTGTAAGCTTAGCAGTTTTGGTAATAGTAACGCGCACAAGCCATTAGGACACCGTTGACAAGGTTCTCAGTATAGCTTAGGTTCAGTACCTTGCTGACAGCCTTTTCAGGCAGCGGGCAACATCTTTTTACTAAGTTGCAAATTTGATTGTACCCATCTATTACCATACTGGAATTGCCTTACACTGTCTTTCAATTAGTTTTCTTTGGATTGTACTTTCCGTCCGGCTGTATATTACTTTCCACTCCGACCGTCTGATTAGTTGTCCTCTTTTAGCGATGAATATCGAAGCGAGAAGAACCTCCGAGCAGGTATTTAAGTGGCTGGGTAACCATGTAGCTATTCAAAGCCTGAGTCAGTTTATCTCCCCTTTTTGTACACTATATTTAGTTTCTGGCCTTCAGTTCTTCGGAAAGGTAAAATCGTATCGTCTCAACATCTGCGTATGACAGCGCGTAGGTGTTTCTGATAAGGGGCTATTTAATGACGTAGTGCTTTTGGTTCCCAAGGATGGGGAATACACGAGAACTTGTTTTTTTTTGGCCAGTTTTGTTTTGGGTGTGGAGCTGATTAGCGAGTGATTTGCAAAGAATCTTTGCACATCCATCTTTTTATTAGGCTGATTAGCTATTACTTTTGCAGGCAATCGTCTAAACCCACTTGCTCAGCCTGGATTTGGATACCCGCGAGGGCCTCTACAGTACGACTTGAACCCGCAGTACATGGGAGGAGCGAGGAAGTCCGGTGGACGACGACCCAAGGAATTCGAAATGGGACCGGTAAGGAATCACTGGAATGCCTTTTATATACATAGTTTTTATTCACGTACTTGAAAGTCAATTCTGAAATACGGTTCCATCTGGCTTTACCGGTATAGGGTGGGCTATAGGACCGCAGTACTTCTCCTTTGTTGGGAGGACAGGTTGGGACTTAGGTTTGGGCTATCAGAGCTTATTGTTCAAGGAAGAACATTGAATCTCAGGTCATGGGCAACTTACCAAGCCTCTTTAACCTTCTTGATCGGCAGCTAGAGAAGAATGAGTAGGCTTTCAAATCTCTCATATAGCCCATAGATCTCCACAGCGAAGAGATTGCGAGTAGTAGGCGTCATGGCCACCTTTGGCGGCCCGTAACTTTTTCGAGAGGTTTAGCAGGTGGAATAAACTCCTTCTCATGAGGTTAGGTTTTTCTTCCTGGATCGGACCCATTACCCTTTTCCTTGAAAATGTATCACTTATCGATGAGAGTACCTCCTCTAACAAGGAGTGAGTCACTGCTTCAAAGTCTACCGGTTGAGAACGCGTGGTACCGTCCAGGAAGTATCTTCCTGAGTTCCTTGTGAGCTATCTGGACCGTATTTACAAAGCAGTTCCGTGAGCTATGCCGCCAATGTCCGTGTGCAAATAGCCATTGGCGTGAGTCACCTCTCCGCACCTATTTTACACTTCTGGTCGTTTTCCTATCTCTTATTCTTGATCCCTTTGGGACCATCGCGATACCGTGTACACTACAGTAGAAAGCTCGCTAACGATGATTTTTTTTTTGAGAAGGCGGAATAACTGGAGGTATATTGGGTATGGTTGAGCTGTGAAACTTCTGGGTAGCCGTTTTTTTTTTTTTTCAGAAAAGACACAAGTGAATACTGTGTACCACTGAGAACTTACTTAGGAGAGATAGAAAGGTTATGCATACATGGTTATGCATTGACGGACCATTTGTCGAAGGAATTCGACTGAGGGGATAGTGTCGGCTCCTAGCTGATTGTGTTTGGGAGAAACTTTGAATCGAACTTCTTTTGAGAGAAGGTTTTTAGTGAGGCATTTTTAGTCCGAGATCGTTTTTTAAAAGAAATTTGCGTCACTGAGCGGTTTGTGGGAATATGTACGTATGTTGGCCATCACTCCTTCATGGCTTGGTCTTCTGGTGTTCAAGCGTTTCAAACAGGTTTCCTTGGCGCTGACTCATCATCGTGATGTTCACTACGATATGCGTAAGAATCAAGAAAATCGCAAGTTGCAGCAAGGCTTGGATGCTCCTTTGCAGAGACTTTTAGGAAAAAATTTTTTCGGGTTTGGGAAAAAAACCTGTCGAAAGCCTTCTCTCACATCTGATGCCGTCTGATCAATTTATCGACTACTACGCTTCTTGAGGGTAACACGGCCAAACCTTGTGACTCGCTTTTTGAAGGGACCATGGCTGTTTGACACTGAATAGGAATTCTCATATTTTTTGCAGAGATATCATATCATAAAATGGGTCAATATTTGGTACGTAGAACTGTCGACTAAGGATTTCTTGATCGTCATTGCGGTTATGTGGGACCTAAGGCTGTTGTTTGCTATTCTGAAAATTTCTTTGTGTATAGCCCTTTTACTGTTTGGAAAAATTGTTTGGGGCGGTATGGGGCTTTCAAATTTTCTGTTCATTGCCTATCTCTTCATCGGAGGGAAGTCCAGAAAGAGGAAGTCCCACTAGAAAAAAGTTCCCGGAGTAGCAGCACCGAAACGAGGCCCAATGAAATGAGATACCTGATCGAGTTCTTCTTCTTGCTGAAATATTTTGGTATTTCCGTACCGCCTGCACCTTCTGAATCTAGTGAATTGCAATGATTCTTGCATGGATTTCTCTTGATACAAAAAACACTTGAACTGTTTTGCAAGAGTGTTTCTTTCTACCAGTTGGGTAAATTAGAGGCTTTCATTGTTTTGGATCCGTCTCACTCGCTGACGTCGTTTTCCTTATTCGCCAAATAGAAGCTGTTGTCTGCAAAGTCGTCAGTTTGCCGAGTTCCCAGATGTTTATCGTTCCAGCAGCTCGGCTGCCATTTGAAGACGCACTTTGTCGGCCTATAGCAGACGATAATACCGTAGCAAAGGGACGTAACTAGTGGTAGTGAACAGTAAAATATTCGCGTTGGTTTTAGGAGATCGAGGATCAAGATGAACTGGATAAGAGGATCAAAAGGCGACAGAGAAACAAGGAAGCTGCTGCACGATGCCGTCAACGACGTCTTGACCTGATGACTAACCTCCAAGAAGTAAGATTTTGAGAATTCGATTTTCTGGAACCTTCGTAGTTCAACAATGATAGTTAATGCTTTTTCAGCAAGTCGATAAGTTCAAAGCCGAAAACGAGAAGAAAGAGATGGAAATTCGTGCAATGAAGTCGCAGGTTCGTCAAGTTCTCCCTTTCATAATGGTTCTCAGTATGATCGCTGCTTAGTAATAGTATGCATCTATCACCTTACCAAGTTAGGCGAAGGAAGCTGTGTAGAGTTCCCTCTACTTAACATGGCCCTTGAATTTTAGTCCATAATTACGGCGGTCGTTGTTCTCCCAAAAACAGTTGGAGTCAGCAATGTAGGCGAAACTGCTGGGCCCCAAATGTTTTACGATGCATACTTACTAGATTACTACCATGAAATTTTCCGAATAAAAGAAAATTGAAGAAGGAGGACTGGGTGCAGATGCTGCACTTGTCTGTTTCTTTTCATACAGTTACTTTACCTTTGGAAACCATGAAAAGGGTTCCTTTTTTTTTNTTTTTTTTTGGGAGACCGTACGTCTATCTAATAACGTCAACGTCTTTTGACCGGAGGCATTATAACGACTTTCTCGGCACTGTCAACGAGGAGTCCCTTTCCGTCCGAAATTCTTTCCCCCAATCTACAGCCTACTGGTAAAGAAATAAAAGTCAAGAAGATCCTTGTAAGCCCAACTAAGTCCTGTACAGCGTTTCGAGATGGTGAAGCAGCAGAACTTTCTGAAACACCATGCGCCTTCTTGGCAGCCATTAAGTTAAATGACTTGCACCATGTATTTGAAAAAGTCGTTAAGTTGTTGGCAGTCACAAAGGCCAGTGCCCCATTTCCTCTTTCCCTAAAGGATGGCATCTTCTTTCAAAAATCAGACTAAAGATCCTGTAAAAGCTGTCGTCATTCTCTCAATTAATAATCAACATCTTCGTCCATTGTGAAATATCTTTATTATCAGCCTTTCCTTACACTTCAAACGTTAGGAGTTATGGTAGCTACAGTATGACTGAAAGTTTTCTTTTGTTTAGATGGAGCAAATGCACAGCTTTTTGCGTTCGCACGATTGTAAAATGAGTGTTGAAGAACGGGAGGCATTGCCGCTTCTGAACATGCCATCCATCAGATCCACGATGCCGCCGATAATGAACGGAATCAGTAAGTAGAGTAACGTATTTGAATGTTTTCCTGTAGTTTCCCATGCCGTTACTTCAAATTCAACTCAAAGGTAAAGATAGCGTGTGGCAGCAATAGCAATAGGTCTTACTTGGGCCATATCGGTATGAGTTGTCACATTAAGTGGTTTAGATCGCTCATGAGCTGAAATAGAGCCACACCGCTGAATAAGAATAGTTACCATTGCCTAGGTCTTGCAAAAGTCTCTGTGTCTCTGTATTGAACTTCAATTTTTGAACCGAAAGCTAGTATCGCTAAATCCTAGACTTAATTACGACTATTGGTATATTATGCAGTCCAATTTAGGATCTCAAGTTGCCAGTTTGGGTAGGGAACTGTTCCCAACGCTGGAAATGGGACTTCTTCTGTTGCTGTATTGCTTCGTATATTTCGCCAAGCTGTTAAGCTTGGAAACCATAGTTCCACCATTATTAACACTTACTTCCCGTCTCCGTTCCTTACCTTTTGCCCTATTGGAGTTTCCATCGTCGTTATTCAAATGTTTTACAACCTCATGGAAATCATTCTGGAAAGATTTTGCGGCCACTAACTTACTCACTGCGATTGTTCTCTTAGAACTAGATAATTTTCCTAGGTGGCCCTCTTAGAACCTGGGAAATTCTAACCATCACATATTGACTTTCCACATTACTCTGATCACGTATGATTGGTTTCAGCTTCTAACCCCCATCCCATTACCGACTATCGAACTAATGTCGCTGAAGTGAACCGAAAACGAGTACTGCCAGCTCCGCAGTTGCCTGCACATTCCGACGCCAGTTTCCTCGAGCCAGATATGAAGGTCGGTTACTATGAGATTCTAACAAGGAACAAAAGGCAGTTACACTTTTTAAGCAAGATTTGAAGTCCCTTTTAAATTACCTGCTTTTTTCAGTGTCCCAAAATCGAGAAAGACGTTTCATTGGCTGACTTGAATGCGGAAACGATATCTCGTCCGAATCACATTAATTTCGACATGATCGGCCTTGGTAATACGAACATACCGTTGTCAACGCCAACGAACATCACCTATACCACTGGTACTACACCATATACCACAGCTGGAACCTACAGTACTGGTTTTCCTGGATGTAAGTTTTTGGAATCTCTTGATCCACTTGACCTAATTCTGACGCTTACTTCTGATTCACCACCTCGCCATTGNTTTTTCTTATTTTATCGTAGGTATAGTAAAATGTATCAGACTTATAATTAGCGAAATCTTCCAGAAATTTCGGGGTTATCGGAAATATTTCTGATATTTGTTTTTCCCATTCTTCTGAATCGTATGTTAAGAGAACAATTCTGGTAACAATCTTCAAGAACATTTACTTTTAACATACATTCCATATCAGAATTTTAACTTTTTATGGAGAAGCGACTGAAATTACTTTGAAATTCAATATGGAGTAATCCACTATCATTCAAATCTCTTCGTCGGATTCAAAGTTAAAAGTAGCCTAGTCGTATATACGGATATGGGCGTGCATAATGAGGAGAGAGGGAGATGAAGGAGGCTTACATTCATCGCTACTAAATTTTTATAAAGATTGACTTTTCATCTTTGGAATGACGGTCACTTGGGTTTCTGATAGGGGCTTTAAGTTCAGGCTCTGGTTTCTTAAGTAGTGGGCTGGCTGGGAGAGCTGTACCTACTCTCCGTATAAGTACAGTTCCTGGTATATTTTGGGGAGCAGGAACTACCCATGACTGTGGAAACTGGAGTATGAAGCTCCGATGTTTGCGAACAGAGGGGGGGGGGGGGGGTTAGTTTCCTGCTAAATTTCATTCTTACGCTACGGGCCCCTACTAAGTAAATAAGTAGGGATCTAAAGCTAAGATGGTGTCCTCTATCTACTTCTGGAATTTCGGATGAAAAATGAATCAGGGGAGGATTGTGCTTGGGGAGAAACCAAGAAAGTCAGAGGGACCCGGTGTGGATCAACCTTTCTGCTAGTTGTGGTTACTGAGGGAGTGAACGCTTGACCCCGATATGAAGCCGGACAAAAGAATTCCTCCCATGCACTGAAGTCCGTTTAGGTCCTTTCGGCCTACTTAGGAAACTGAGGGAGCCCCACATTCTGAGTGGTTTCGTCTTGGAATGGGATTGCTTCAAGGAATGCCGATTGTTAAATTCTAAAGTGTACAGTTCCCCCTTTGTGTTCATATAAAACTCTGAACCATTTATCAGGGTTCCATTCAACTACACAATGCAATGGTTTCAGAAGGTCCTGTGAAGTGTCAAGCCAATATCGATGTGAACTATTTAGCTTTATGAAGATTTTTTACAATATTTCCTAAAGTATAATTTATATTTTCAATAAGTATTTTCGATTTCAGTGAACAATGACTTCCTGAACGACAGTACCGGGTTGACACCATGCACTCAGCCAAATCCGATTTTTGTAAACACTCCAACGCCGCTTCAGACATCTGAAGCGGATCTTCGGGCTTTGTAAGCGCCGATTACTTGATGTGTCTGTTCTAAGACTTTTTTTCTGCAAACTTTCGTTTGCACTTAACTGTATAATAATATCACTACGACTTTATTTACTTTTGTCACATCTCTTTAAGATTTTTCGGCCGAGTAGTCTCGTCGCTCTCTGTTCCGCGTGTGTTTAGATGTATAGCTTCAGTTAGACATGGCCTTTGATTGTAAAATCCGAGTGAATCCTTTCGATATATTCCGATGTCTCTTGTCTTATTTCACAGTCGATCAATATCAATCAATACAATCAGAATCCACATATCGATTTCTAGTGTGACACTTCCTACAGTATGCATGTATGGGGGTGTCTCACCATGTCCTTTCGCCTTCTGTTTCACATCATTCCCCATTTCATCTCTCTTTGACATACACACGCGTTTTTTCTTAATGTGATGATGATGAAAATCGCTCGCACCGCGTTGTTCGCTGTAGTCCGATCTAATCGATATATCGATTTTTATCTCTAACCACTGGTACCCCAAGTGACTTATATTTCTTGTTAGTTATATTCTTCAGTTTATATTTGTGTACATCATGTTTTTTCTTTATTCTTTTTTTATTTGCTTTTTATTTCCTTCTTTTTTTGATGTCGTGATATCCTTAGAGAACTTGTTGCTAAAAATTTCATCTGAGTCGAATGTTCTGAGTAACGATTTTGATCCAATCAACAATTGCTTATGAACTGGCGTAAGATTACTTTATCTGGAAAGTGCTTTTCTTTCTCAAGTTCCGTTTTTTTAGATGTTAATTGAAATCTATATATCAATGAATAATGTGCATTTTTTTTTCTTTTCATGGATGTATTGTCAGAGTCCAGAAGCAATAAATATTCGGGAATTTCTCAGACTGTCCGCTATAGGACGAATAAAGTAGAACCATTTAAGGCAAAGTTATCGTTTGTTGGGGGCAAGGTGTGTCATTAGTATCGAAAACCTTCCGGACTACTTATTACGCGCTGCAAGCGCCCATGGGGCGAGTTACCAGTTCCATCCAATCCATGTACTATCTCCCCACTACCGTCCTACCTCTCTCCCATGAGCGGTCAGGAAGATGGATTGGGGACAAGCAAGTCGAAGGTTATACCTGAATAGAAAATAGAAAAACTTTGAGTTTGAACTAATTAACAAGAGGAGAACGTGCTGTTGCACCATCCTACCATGCTCTGCGTCTCTAACGCAAGGAGGTAGAGAGCAGAGAAAAATGGAGCCTTTGCCGAGGAAGGATGCATTCTGATGGTGAGTCAACAAAATAGAATGGGATGTGAGAGATTTTGGACCAGTATGTAGTAGTATCAGAGTAGGCGTAAGACTGGAAAAGTTCGATTGGATTGGAATAGGACACCGCCTTTTTGGGAGAACGCAAAGAAAATCCCGAACACAGTAACTCTTCAGTTTTCAACACTCCAAGAAACGAACCTAAGGTCCCTAACAAATGCCGCTCCTGGCCTGTGTTCATACTACGCGCTTCTAGATGGAAGCTAACAAGCGGAGGGCGGCAAAAGCGGGGGGCGGAGAAAGTAGGTTGTCGTGGGTCACAATTTTTGACATCGATAATCAATCGGCACCGCCCGGCAGGTCGATAACCGATGCCGCCCTAGCAAATTTCTCAAGTGTTCAAAATGCTTTTTGTTTCGCTTTTTTCGATGCTACCTGATTGCTACGTTCTTTCCATTACGCTCTATTGTCCTCTCCGAAGAAGTCGTTTCTGTACTTTTCGGTTATCTTACTCCGAACTTTCATTTCACATCAAATTCATCCATGCGGCTCCTGCTAAACTTCAAGGAACTCCAATTGCTACTTTCGAATTTGCTAAAATTAAAAATTGCCAATTCTTATGTTTCGAGAGCTCTAAGTCTTCATGATTTTTATTCCGCTTTGTTCCTGTTCATGCAACTGATAACGACTTTGATATTTATGGCTTTGTAGCAGTGGATAAGACTTACTTAAGAAAACTACTTAGTAATGATAGTAAAATCTGTATCTAAGGATTTCACTGAACAAGAGGGACAAGTCAAGCATTTCTAGCGTCTAAAAATCACTTCCTATAACTTCAAAGTCGATGTAAGGAATGTCGGAATAGGGCCCTTCAGTCCTTGTCTCTGCCCCGCCTGCCTCCTATCAACTTTTGCCCAGTACGCTGCTCACCATCCATCAACTCTTACCGAAAGGTGCCTAGAATGGATGCAGCTCTTCGTGAAAATGTAGTTGGGGGGGGGGGGGGGGGTGCCAGCGCCCTTCCGTCTCGTTGCTCTGCGTCTCTGACTCAGGCGGCAGAATACCCATAGACCGAGATAGGGAATCTATTTTTCAACAAGGGGAGGAGCTCCGGGGTGGGTGAGAAGTAAACGTTGTGCAAAAAGTTGAAATGATTTAGAATAGCTCTTTAATAACAGCTTCAGTCGACGCGTGCTTGCGTCCACGGTGCGCGATGAACTTATTGCAGTCAAACTCCTCAAGTTTAACCCATTCCACTCTTTTCTAGCTTATCGCAACTCTCTCTTGTCCTTGCACTACGTTTACTTCTCATCCACCCCGGAGCTCCTCCCCTTGACAAAGAATACATCCCCTATCACTATTAAGAGGCCATGTCGGCGATCCAGTGCGTACTCTGTCACCTGGGTCAGAGACGCAGAGCAACGAGACTGCAGGGCGGTGGCACCCCCCAACTACATTTTCACCCAGCTCTTTACATCTTTACTGTTGTCTTCTTCTCTGGATGTTTTTTAGCTCAGCTTGATGAGAGCTATGTCCTTAAAACCGTCGACGTACAGACGAAGAGCGGCAATTCAATCCGTTATTGGCCCGCGAACTTACTGCAACATTCAGGGCGCAGCCTCGCCAGGGTACAAACCAAGTTGATTAGCCGCGAGAACCCACACCCTGTTCGCGCAGCCAGAAATCGAACCTGACTGCACACGGGGTACAGAGGCCCAGGCAACACGATGTCGGCCTCTTCCTACCGGTAGACTCCTCACATCAGAATGGTTTTGCTTCTTTTGGGAAGTCGCCATGATGAAGCCGAGTTGAAGCGGTAGCCTTCTCCAGTCTGGGGTTAGGTTTACTTGGTATGATTGAGAAAAAAAAGTTTATGGAAACCTTGACAACGTTCGTGTCGTCGGAAAGCGAGTAAGTATAAAGTTGCATGGTACATGAACGAACTTAAGTTTATTATGAATGATTTCGGTTTCAATTTCTAAAATCGGTAACATCAAAATTACTGCTTTGAAACATGCGGTTTACCAGTCTGGATTGACGTATCACACTTGTTTCCATTCACTTCATAAATGATGCCAGATGTGATTAATGCGCCAAAATCCAAATTCGGAAAATCACCGCAACACTAAAGTTTTCCATTGAAAAGAGCTACTTGAAAGTTGAAATTTTAAGGGTAGTACGTAAGCTCTTTTTCATTGATATGAGAGCGGAGGTGGTGTAGTGGCAAGTGGCGCACTATATCACACGCACGATCAAGGGTTCGAATTCCGGATCGATGCCCGCCTAGGCCATTCAAGCCTTCCATTCGCGCATCCCTCAGAAGGGATTGATTAACGCCAAAAACTTTATCCTTTATCCTTATGAGGGCGAAAGTCTTCCGGAAATCTGTTTGTCACCCTTGTTGATCCCCGAATCCCAACTTTTCCAATTACTTTTCAGTTTCCCACTGCATCAAGGATCTGTAGAAAGGGACTCGCTGACTTTAAATCACATTGGATGTCTCTCAAGGTCGGCAGAACATTGTATTTACACTACCGTACTCTCTGAAGCTTTCAAGTAGATGGACTATACGATCCGAGAACATACTCCGTTTCCACAGGTGGAAGTACGATTATAACAAGTGGTAACGGTAGGAGGTATGGTAGCGGCTGGTTCCACCATTAGGAGAGTCACCCACTTCTCATGCTTGCCCATGTAGGTGGGAGGCGCAAGGGGCGTGAAGAGTCGCAAGAACCCTCCAGGCGCTGTGCTAGGAACCGTTTAGGGCTCTAAAGCGCTTACAATCCATCACGAAACATGGGTGGCATGCCGAACAACTTACCGATACACCGATTTCCTCGTATTTTGTCGGTTTTGGAGATGAATCCACCACTGGAACTGGAACTGGAAATGGCAAAAAATCTAGGCGAAGATAGCAGCCTTGCATAGATCTGCCAACGACGAACTTCACTTCTCCAATGTTCTGAGGCCCAATTTTAGTCAAAGCCTTCAGGATTTCTGGAGTGGCCTGAAAACAGACTTCATTCACGTTAGGAATCCTTCTCTCCTTTCAGTGAGGTGTTTCCCGTATTCGAGGCATGAGCAATGTTTGAAAATGAAACCTAATCACTTGAATTAATGAAGAAATCAAAATTTGAGTGTTGAAGATCAGTTTGTCTTCTCCTCTGACCTTTTTACTTGAACGTATTTCCTTTTTTGGTTCCTCTCTACTATATTTATTCGTTCCTTATTCTTGGCTATTCGCTGTCAGCTAGTTTCCCTCAAATCCGCCATAGCTCAGCTTTTGTTTCCACCCGATCCAATTCTTGGACCAGAGTATGAAGACAAGAATTTAGAGCGCAGCGGCATAAAGTTCATAGGGGAACAAGTGAAGCTGAACCAGTTGCCCTGACCCTTAGTATTAGCTGCAGGTGGATGTAATAGCAATAAAAATATCGCTCTAAACTGAAACCGATAGTCTTCGGTCGAGATCTGAACCTATCAGAACAGCAACTCTAGCTTTGGTCTGATTAACGAGTGGTCGCTTCTATCACTTTTCACCATATTCGCTGGAAAGCACAGTTCACCACTATTCCGAGGTGCCCTTTTTCAGTTGGAAGTGTGGGCGGAGGGTAGTGCATAGAAAGCAAAGGAAACGAGAAATCCCGCTGGCTTAGCGAAAAAAGGGTCTCTTAAAAGAAATAAAAACAGAGGCTGTACGAGATTGCCATGACGGGAATGACATGAAAGGGGGTATTCGGACGAGATTTCAGTTGTC